TTCTCTCTTCTCTCTTCTTCTCTCTCTCTCTCTCTCTCTCTCTCTCTCTCTCTCTCTCTCTCTCTCTCGCGCGCGCGCGCGCGTGCGCGCTCTCATACACACGCACACACAAATCATGGCTTAGGACAAGCTAAACATAGCTAAAGATAAGTGTAACAGTTTGAGAGTACTCTGCATAACATGGTTTTATAGTTCTCATGAAAACGCTTATTGGAGCGTGCCTAAGGCGTATTCGTAAATGAAAAATTACTTGACTTGAGTATAACTCTCTCGAATATTTCTTGTCTTTCAGGTTTTCATTTTAGATTATCCCGTTTTCAGTATGTGACTGTTGTGCGTAGGTTGAACGAAGGTTTTCAAGATGTTTGCAAACTATATTTATTTGTTAGTGTGCAAAAAATTCCGTCAGCTTTTCTGTTTTTCCCGTTTTAATTGGTACTGTGTAATGCGTTTACACATATTATGAGTTTCAATTAGTGTGCATATTATTAATTATACATCTCTCTACAGAGTGGCTCAGAAAAAACAATCAGAATATATTGATTCATTAAATCAAGTCGATTTACTAATATCATTGTAAGTCGTATTGATTTAATTAACTTCTAATCATTAATATTTAAATGTTTTGAGATAATTAAGTCTTAAAATATAAATTAATTTGCCATCGTGTTAATTACTATAATATCACAATTTTGTTCTATTATTGTTAATTATTTTGTTTCATTATTTGTTAATATATCGTCGCCCTTATGCCAAAACCACAAATGTGCAATTTTGTAGTTTAGAGTTATTGCTATTTTTAAAAATTTAATTTGCTTCGAAAAATCAGATTCTTGTTTTATTCTTATAGTTCCTTCAGATTACTCAAGCACTGATTTACTATTGTGAATTGCTAACGCATTTGCGTCTCTGGCATAGAATTTTTGTCCAAAATTGGGTAGAAAAATTACATTAGCGAAAAATCGGAAAACTGGCACATTTGTGGCATGATATATGTATATCGCAAGAAAAATAATAAAATTAAATTCAAATACTTCCCGCGTGAGTCCCCTATGTTTAATACTGTTGTAAATAATTAATTTTAAAATTATTGTTTAACCAAGCATAGATATGTGAAATTATTTTCCGTAAAATCAAGCTTGCTTCAGACGATTCATTATTTGCGACAGAATTTGAGATAAAAATCTATTCATAATATTATTAATAGGAAACATTATTATTAATGCAATTTTTCTTCCTCTTTCCTGAATAATTTTATATTTTTGACTTGTGTCACTTTGCTTACGTGGGTGCAATATACCTATATGTATATCTAACTTTCAGCATCGGGTATCTTTCTCCTTCTTTCTTTTATCTTTATTCTTCTTCTTCTTCTTTTTTTCCTCCCTTCTCCTGTCGCTCGTTAAAATTTATTCATGATTCGGCAGAGCAATTCTTACTTCTCTTCGGGAGACTGGTTCGACTGGTCGCGGTCCAAATATTCGACGGGCTCCGGCCTATTTTCCACGTAATGCGATAGGGCCTTAATACTACTTGTGAACCGGTTGTGGGGTTTGATTTATTGATCGGCAATATCGATTTTGTTCGACTTTGGCTAATCCCTTACATTTTTCTTTAAACTGTTATCGCGGTGCTTTTCATTGGCTCATTGCGTATGGGATATTAAAGACATCAGTCAGTAATCAATTTGGCTTTATCGATAATTTTCAAAGAAATTTTGTTCTGATTAATAAGCCTTATTTAAGGTTTACTTTACTACTTTAACGCGGTTATTACGATTACTCGGATTTTACTTTTAGCATTTGTACGAATTTATAAATCAGATTTATAAGTCGCTAGTATCTTAATTCAGATAGTGATTATTTAATATTTTATGTGATTTCACTGTTCAAATTTGCCAAATGGTTTAGATTTATAACAAGAATTATTTGCCTTTGAGATAAAAACTTGAATTCGTATAATCGCTTTTTTTTTGTGTCAAATTATCTAATACAATGTAATGTTCTGCACATTTAAGGAACATATAAATATAATAATATATATGAAGTTCCGATTTTCTTTTGTAAGTTCTTAAAGTTTCTCTCGCCAACTACTCGAGGTGCTCTCGAAAAAAATGTTTTGAACTGTATG